CTAAGTGATCCAACTCACATTGGGCTTAGTGCCCAGGTGGTTTGGCCAATGGCGAGCCTAAAAATATTGAATGGTGACGTGGGTGGGGGGTTTCTAAGGGTTTTGTAAGTAATATTGGATGAGAATTGACAATATATAAAATAAAATTTTAATTTTTTTCTTTCTTTAGTATTGTTCCTACTATCGCATCTTCTTTCCCAAGTACTTCTCCATATGGAAGTGAAGGTTAGATTTTCTGAGATCCAACAATGGAATCATTTGAGTTTTAACGACATATGTTCTAGATGATGCCAATGTTTTCTTGTGCTTAACTAGATTAGATTGAACTATACACTATCCAGAACAAGAGAAGTACGTGATAAAATTTTATCTTTGTTCAATCTAGTCTTGTACACATGTATCAAATATGGCACAAAAGTTTGAACTTGAATATATGCAAGTAAACGAATTAAACTCGAGATATGTTGAACTACTAATTACTTTGAGGGTTACACATAAATGCTTTCCAATTGTTTGATGTATGTCTAGCAGAGTTTTGCTCGAATTAGTCCTTCTGAACCCGATGGCCTGGTTCCTATAGCACGTAAGAGCCAAAGCTGAAAGCTCTTTGTACTAAATACTAGGGAACCAATCCTTGCTAGTTTTTACTTTCAAGTCATATTACTGAGTGGACGTCTACGAGTAAGTCAACCTTCCTTACCCGATAAAGTATCCAAGAGAGAATGCGAGGGTGGTTCTGCTTGAGTCGACATATTTTTGTTAAAATTGGATCGTCGGCAGAAGTTGAAACATAATAATGGGTGCGTTACATTTTTTCTCCAGCCATGTGGGCTGGTAATGGAATCCACTGTGTTCATGTCTGTAGAAGCGTGACAGTTTTCTACGACTTAGTCCAAGCCCCATACATTAATGAAGTTCAGCAGTTGGCCGTTGCAGAGCATTAAATTGCTTCGTATTATTTTCCCATGCAGAAATCTACAAGCCAATTTCCAGCGTTGGATCTTCATCGCCTGTTTTGCAACCATTGATATAAATATAGTCGGCGGGTCGAGTCCTCTTTGGTCCGATCATTTATTTCATAATGGAGAAAAAAATTATTCCCTTTTCTAGGAAAAAGAAAAAGTACTAAAAAGTAAGACCAATACTAAAAGGTATTGTACCATTGGAAAAATAATGTCTCAGCTACATTTTGGACTTTTTGTATGTATAGGAGTAACATTTATGAAAGTCAGAATAGTCGGGCGAGGATAAATATCTTTTGTATCGTTCTCTCTCAGTGCTTGTTTGAAAAAACTTTAATAACTAATTTTAATGGGACTCAATTTTTATCAACTTTTCTACTGCATATTTCGAGTCCGCTAGGTAGGGTTGAAAAGTTAAACGTTACTTTTGATACTAAGAAATTGTTTCTGAACATGTTTGGATAATTTTTTTAAAGTACTCATCTGAAGTGCTTTTTGATGAAACTACCCTAAAGTAACTTTCTCAAAAAGCTCTTCATAGAAGAAAACTCTGTCAAACGTATCATTCGTCAACTTTTATCAAAATTCACTAAAACTTTTATAAAAAACTTTATCAACAACCCCTTAAACATATTTAATCTTGTATAATCGTGTACAATTTAGGTTTATCAAACATGTCAAAATTGATTTTACACTATGCAATAGGTTTGATATTTCAAAATACAGTGTGAAAATAAGTATTACAGACAAATTATGACATAAGCGAGGACAAATATGTTCGAAGTCTTTCTTCATAAGTTCAGCGAAAAGAGAAGATAGTCTTGAGATCTTTAAATGTCTCGTATATTGGATTAGACCATATTGAACCGTTAAAGAAGAGAAAAAAGTTAAAATCTTGTCATCTATAACATGATATTGCATCCCAAACCTGCTTTGAAGGCATATTTGATACGTAAAATTCGATAGAATAACTCATAAATTTTATTTAACATACTGATATTGTTAGCATGTCACTTCACATTGTAAGTAGGTTTTATTTTGAAGAGGTAGGTCATGGACTTAATTACACAGATCTCTGATCTTTAATCATACCTGTATCACCTTGTCTTAATGAAGTACCCATTTGCGCGTAGATAGCTAGAAAAAAGTCATCTCAGTTTGAGCCCTATAAATAGTCTTAGCCTTCCTGCATTTGATATCATCGCACATAGCACAACTTCACTTATAATTACATCTCTCATTTGCTTATTTTTGTTTATAATTTGCTCAAATGGGTGGGGAAATTATGAAATGTTTGGTGGTATTAGTATTGGTGGTGAATCTTGGTTATGGGGTTATGGCACAACCCCAAGTCCCATGTTACTTCATTTTTGGTGATTCTTTGGTAGACAATGGGAATAACAATAACATTAATTCCTTGGCAAAAGCTAATTATATGCCTTATGGGATTGATTTCCCTCGTGGACCAACTGGAAGGTTCTCAAATGGTAAAACTAGTGTCGATGTCATTGGTAAGCGCACGCTCTCTCTCTCTCTCTCCCTCCCCCCCATACACGTTTGTGATATTCAATGAATATATTAGGTCGTCCTAAAGAAGGTTTAGGGATCAGCTTCAATAATGTATGAGACACAACTCGCACATTGAGGGTGAATACGTGCGATTCTGTGTTTATTTTATTTGGTCTGAATTCATTCAATTTATTATTGCCAAGAATGGATGGAGGCTTAATATCCCATATCAACGTATAATCTTATAACCTGCATTACCATCTACAGCTGAACTTTTGGGTTTTGATGGCTATATCCCTCCGTATGCTACTGCCCGTGGTCGAGACATACTCAAGGGTGTGAACTATGCGTCTGCAGCTGCTGGAATCAGAGAGGAAACCGGTCGTCAATTGGTAGTTACTTGTAATTAAGTTTCTGGATAAGTTAAATTTTCAGAATAAATTCTCTTGAAATATGCCTTGAAACTAACTCCTTGTGTACAAATTCATGTAGGGAGCCAGAACTTCCTTCGCTGGGCAAGTAAGAAATTACCAGAACACAGTTTCACAAGTGGTAAATTTACTAGGCAGTGAAAATGCAGCGGCAGATTATCTGAGCAAATGCATATATTCAGTTGGAATGGGAAGCAACGATTACCTTAACAATTATTTTATGCCTCTCTTCTACTCATCTAGCAGGCAATATACACCCGAACAGTTTGCTGATGTTCTTATTCAACAATATTCCCAACAATTACAGGTAACTCCTCCATTTTTCCTTACATTTGCAAGTTCGTATTCTCCAAGTTGATGCATCGGTAATGTTACGAAGGTCGCTTGTCGTGTCTTGAAAATAATGTGTCATAGAGAAGATTATAACTATTTTTTTTTTATATTGCTAAATAATGTACAGTCCAGCGTATTAATATCGAAATAAATGCTTATTTGACTACAGGCTTTGTACAATTATGGTGCGAGAAAAGTTGCCTTAATTGGAGTAGGCCAGATCGGATGCAGCCCAAATGAATTGGCACAAAACAGCCCTGATGGGAAGACGTGTGTACAAAGAATAAACTCTGCTAATCAGATGTTCAATAACAAACTGAAGGCCCTAGTTGATAATTTCAACAACAAATTGCCTAATGCAAAATTCATCTATATTGATGCTTATGGGATTTTCCAGGATTTAATTGACAAACCCTCAAATTTCGGTAATTCTTCCAGGACTTCTAATTCGCGCTTTTCTCTTTTCAGTCAGTTCATGTATCAAACATTTAAAAAAAAAAAAAAAATGAATTTGGCATGCAGCAAAGAGGATCTGTTCTGTCTTAACAACGAGATAATTCAAGATGGTAACGGTAAAGACTAACGTGTCTTTGGTCGGTTGCAGGTTTTACGGTTACAAATACTGGATGCTGCGGAGTAGGGAGGAACAATGGCCAAATAACATGCCTTCCATCACAAACTCCTTGCAGAAATAGAAAGGAATATATCTTCTGGGATGCTTTTCATCCTACTGAAGCTGCAAATATCATTGTCGGAAGGAGATCATACAGTTCTCAAAAGGCTTCAGATGCATACCCGATTGATATTCGTCGTCTAGCTCAACTCTGAAGGCCGAGATCAAGAGCTTAGGCATCAGCATCATCACCAGGGAAGAATACATTAATCTGCACAATTAATTTTAGACATAATTTTGAGTGAATTTTATTGTAATAGAGCTGAGTGAAAAGTGTGCATTACCATGAAAATGGACTGAAGTGTAGCAATTGTGAAAAATAAGGTGGTGAATTGATGAAAGAATTCAATTCCCGCGTGTGTTTTGTTTTACTATATTCTTATAATTGATCAATTTTCAGTTTCAGAAATGCATTAGACATTGTTCTTCAACAGTTTGAATAGGAATTCTAGTAATCAACATTTATGATAACATTGACATTTCTGTTATTAAAATTGCACAATCAGTTCCCAACTACGAAAATTGTCCAAATAGAACTTTTTATAGAAACAGCGAGGCGGCATCATAACTTAGTATCTCTAAGGAGTCCAGATGCATGAAACTAGTTATGTTTGAGGTCGCTTTCCGCCACTTTCTCCCAAGATTTGAGGCTTTTGTCTTTAGTGTCTGTTTTGTACAACGCCAGACGAGATATCTGAAAGTTCAAACTGCCTATGCTTTCATCAAGGATGGAAGCTTTCTCTTGGGCTTTCTTTTTCTCCTCATCTGTTAAATCCGCATAAAGGAGGCTCAAATGTGGCAGGTAAGCTGCAAGAACACACCCGTATGTTACCAAAATGAATTGCTTGTGCACAAGTAAACAATATCGAGTACTGCTATCGAAAAATTAGCAATTTTGAATCAATAAATAATTCCATAGGAATTCCCCAATAATTTACAGCTTTGTTAACTGATGTTAATATTACAATGACCTGCAATTTTAACTTCTATTTTTTTTCCTGTACTTTTTTACAAAAATGATCCAGAACTGTGTTACTACACGATTACCCTATATCATGCAAACCGAATCATTTACCACGGGAACAATATACTGATAGCATCTTGAATTATTCTCTTTTTTATGTTTGTCTCTTCCTATGTACACGGGTGCACTCTACAACAAAGAGAACATATCAGCAAGGACTAATGAACAAGAAAGTTAAAAGAAAAGCAGAATCTAGTGTACAATTTCATCTTCCTCTTGCCGTTCCCTCAATTGAAGAGGTTCTTTTCTTAGAAATTAATCACATTACATGGTCCGGCAACCACCTTCCGATTTTGCCTAAAGAGTTTTGTGGATAAGGACAAGTTCAACGAGTAGCTCAGATGGATTTATCAGGACTGGACATAGTCCGGCTCGGCTCGGTTCGGTTCGGGTCTCATTAATCACATTATATGGTCAGGCAAACCATCTTCCGATTTTGCCTAAAGAGTTTTGTGGACAAGGACGAGTTAGTAGGTCAAATGGATTTATTAGCACTGAACATAGTTCGGTTCGGTTCGGTCTTTAGAATCGAACCGAACCCAAATTTTTAGATATATGGTAAGTGAAACTGTCGGGTCCAAATTTAATTATGGAACATTTCGGGTTCGGTTCCGTTCGGTTCTTAGATTCCATATAATAATTAATTTTTTTAATATTTACAATAACGCCACATTAATTCAACTAATGACATGTTCAATTTTTGCTCTTACAAAATAACGTAGTTCAATCCCATGATTTTTTTTGCAGCTTTTTTGTTAAATTCTTCATAGATTTGACTGTTAAAATCATTGGAAGAGGAATATAGTGAGCTCACAATAATGAAGAAAAGTGCATCCGAGCTTCCGATTCGATTTCTCCAGAATGACAAAAACAACGTTACGGTAGAATAAGAAATTTGGGTAAAACATAGTCAATTTGATTAAGTTGGGCTTGATTGAAAAGTAAAAATAGGAAAATCATATTTTGAGTTTAGGCTAAATTAATTAGTTAACAAATTTATTTAGAAAAATAAAATAATTTGGCCAATTTAAGATAAAAGAATTAGAGAGATTCGAATATGTCGTTCTTGGTCTAGAATCGAGAATCGAACCAAACCCTTCGGTTCTCAATTCGGATACCCGTTTGAGTATTTAATTTAAGAAGAATCACTCGATTTGGTTCGGTTCGGTTCGGGAGTTTTGCCTGACCCTAAAATTTATTTTATACACTTTATTTTTTAAGGTCTACTTTTCTTGTACTCTAAACTATTCAAGCAACTTGAAAAATACAAGGAAAAATTGCAGTCACGGTATCAAACATTTCATTTAGTTGCAGAATTTACTCAAGCCTTTAAACAACTCGCACCCGGAGTCAAAATTGACAGAAACCGTTAGTTGACCAAAAATCAAAGGTTTGACCAATTGATGACTAATTTTTAAAGGGCAAATGGATAACTTTACATTTTTTATATAAAAAAATTAAAATAAGAGAACTAAATCAATGGAAACCCCAATTATCTTATTCTACATCCACCCTACACATGCCCACCCCTGCTGCCATCTCCTCTAATTACCAAATCAATGGAAACCCAATTGTAGCAATCAATTAACCCAAAAGAAAATAGCAAGGTCATGGCCCTAGAATTTATTTTATACACTTTATTTTTTAAGTTCTACTTTTCTTGCGACTCTAAATTATTCAAGCAACTTGAAAAATACAATGATATAAGTTGTGAAGATGCATAGCTTACGTGTTGAGCTTTTGTAACCAAACTGATTGCTGCAGTGTGCACTCGCCTGAACCAACTGTTTCAGAAAAAAATTACAGAGTCAGTGTAAGAACAGAACTTGCATTTCGTGTGCTAAGGTAAATATATCCGTAGAGAAGTATTCCATATGAACCAAGAATGAAAAAGAAACGGGATTAATGCAATATTCGAGTGACAGAAAATTCAGTTTTGGACCTTAATATATCGCCCTACGCATAATTAATATACCGAATGCATATTTTTCCAATCATATCATGTTTCTTCTGTTTGTTCCACATTGAAACCAACGCAATATACAATTGCAGAGGGGAACAAAAAGCACTACAAATATGATGTTTTAGAACTCTAAGGTCAAAATTGAACAGATTTCTTTTCTAGCTCACACCCTGCTACCGCTCATATTGCACTCAATCTGCCTAGCCGTGTGTGGCCCAAAAACACGACCAAACACGGATTGGTACATCCTTAAAAGGGGCATGATGACTTGATCTTATCGTTAGATCATTCTAATTTATAGGCGATTTCCACAATACAAAATATAAATGATCAAATCCAACATTTCGTCGAAAAACTTGAAAATCAGCCTAATCTTTGATTGAATAAAATAGTTTTTCAATTTTAAAAAACCTCTGATTCCCAAAAGAATAAGGCCAAGCTATGACATTCCTCCCCACTAAATTTCGAAATATCATGCTTGAAAACAAATAATTTAACACTTGTTATAAGCCCAAATCCCACAACACACATATAAAGAAAGCAAATAAATAAACCCTGAAAAAATACCTCATAATTTCTCAAAATGCATAACGAAAAATTACCTCAGACGTCGGATGAAGCAAAAGAAAAACGCATTCGTAAAAGAAAGTTCCAGTGGCAACTTTGTCCACACTAGCATTATAAGCCTTGAGGCCTTCACAAGCCATCTTAAACATGTCAAGTGCCTCACTCTCCGTTAAAGAAATGGCCCCGACGACGGTCACGTGAGGCTCAAACTCCGGTCCACCGAACTCCGATCTGAGGCCCTCCATCAGCTTTTTCAGTCTGGGCCTCACGTCCTCCGGTGGAAGCGCCCACACCGAATAAACATCTTTCTTGATCTCTTTTTGTTCAAGTACGTCGGGAGCTGTAGTCTCCATGGAGATTGAGAAGATGACAAAAGAGAAACCCAAAAATCCAAGAAAGGCTAGAAAACGAAACAAATGAAGCTCAAGGGACATTCACAGAGACGTGGGGTGGTGTTAACGAGGAACCCATGTGTCAAGATCGGATTTTTATTGGACTTTCTGTCGATTATTTTATTTCTCCCGGATCGTGGCAGTGGGGGTAGTGGTGGTCGTGGTAGTGGTGAGCTGGCTGTGAAATGAATCAAGTGGCAATTACACAAAATCATAGTTTATGTAGTGACATTTCCAAAATCAGATCGAAAATTTAATATTTCCAAAATCAAATATTTTATAATTAAAATTTAAATACAACCCACACACGCACCCATCCCATTCTAAATCTCCAATTTGCTCTCTCTCTCTCTCTCTCTCTCTCTCTCTCAACCAACCATCTCTCTGTTGGCGTGGCGGCGTGGAGGGGGCGATGGTGACATGGTTGTGGTGGCTGGTTGGTGTTGGGGGGCGGTGGTGCCGATGCATGGGTGGTGGTGATGGTGACAGATCGACTGCTCCCTCTCTACTTTCTCTCTATTGGTGTTCAGGGCGATGGGAGTGGAGAGGCGGTGGTGCCTTGGTTGCTGCAGTCGTCACCGCAGCAAAGGATGATGACCGCTGCAGTCGTCGTCGCGCTCAGACTGTAATGTAGCGGTCATCGCCGATTTTTAGGTGCAGCGGCGATAACGTCCTCAGATGCAGGCAGTGAAGGCGGTGGCTA